GGTTGGTAAAAATGAGCTGCCAACTCGATCCAGCTCGAACAAAAACGAGCCAACCCGCGGGTCAAACAGGCTATCTCGCGGGTTACTCTTTTTTTTTTTAATTAAAAAAATAAAATCTAACAAAGATCCACTCATGGACTTATCCACCCACACCGTCACTTATCTAACCCTAAGAAAACAACTCAGTCGCATTTCACTCACTCACCCACCCACACCATCACTTCTCTCTTCCACCGTTTCCCTTCCTCTTCCGCAACTCATCTTGACTTTAAGGTTTTTCCTTTCTTCTTCTTTTCTAATCTTCTTGTCGGTAGGGGTGTTAACGGGCCGAGCCGAGCTTTGGTCTTAAAAGGCTAAGCCTGTGTTTAAATATGTCAGTCTGACCAAGCCTGTTACCTGTTATAAATATAATTGTCGGCCTGTGGCCTGACTTATTTGCAAAAAAATAAAAGCCTGGTTTAGCCTGTTAAAAAAAGATAAGACAACAAAAATTTATCCAAACAGAATATACAATCAACAACACTAGTAAGTTCATAAATATTCATAAATTCAATGTATATCCAAACATCATAATATAGAATAAAATCATTCAAAAAGTCTGTTTAACCAATAAAATGGGTTGAAATGGATTGAGGAGAAACATAGGGATATTACAAGTAGTATAAAAACTATAAAATAAAAATAAAAAATAATATATTAGGCCAGCCACCAAGCTTTTGAATTGGAGCCTGGGGCCTTTTTACTAAACGAGCTTTTATACATACCAACAACCAATTTTAGACATGTAAGCTCAAGCCTTTACGAGCCGAGCCAAAGGCCCCTGAATGGCCCCTGATTCGTTTATCACCCTTACTTGTTGGTGTTGGCTCGTGGGTTATAATTTTTTTTATTCCAGATTTTGTGAGAGTCATTATTGTTGGGTTGAAGGTGTTGAAAGTGTTGTTTGTTGTGGCATAGTAATCTGATTTCTTCAAATCAGGTATATGTTTTTCTTTTTTTGGATTCCATTGTTTTCACTTCTATTGCCCGATATCGCAATGCAGAGTTATTTCTTCTTCTTCAATTGAAAATCCCATCTTTTTTCTTTTTTCTTCTTATAATTGGAGCCTTATTTAGTTTTCTCTTTCTGGGTTTTTTGTTTGGCTTGATTATTTCAGACGAGAATGGTTCATGTGTAGCAAGTTTCAAATCTAGTTGGTGAGAGAGATTCACGAGTTCTTCTCGTTTACCGGAGAAATCGAGCACATTGAGATCCTGAGGTGGGTAATTTATTTCTATATCAAATTTTTTTTCATACCCCTTTTTGTTTCTTGAATCCAATTTTTGCTAGTTCCAATCTTCACACCTCTGATTGAATAATGTTCAGAAAGGAAAAGGGGCGTTAGAAAAGACAAATAAAAAATCACAGGTTTCTCATAAATTTGATTTTAATGATATAAAATTGCATTTATTAAATCAAAATAAGACAATGTATAAGTTTTTCTTTTCTTTTTTGTTTTATGATTTGAATTCTTCTTATGTATTAAAATAATTTGTTTGTTGAATTCAGCTCTTGAACTGTTTGAAACAATTTCTTTTCTAACCATAACAAGTACAACGGTCCATGTGCATATTATGGTTGCATATTTTGCGTTTCTTTGGTTTAATGATTTTTTATGATTATTATTTCCTCCATTGCACAAAGAGGAGCCAGTCGTACTTGTTATTTATGGTGAATCATGCCAGTTATGCAAAGTTACTTTGATGGTTTATTAAGCATTCAAATATTGAACTGAAACAAATTGGCTGTAAGAAATAGATAAAGCATTGTAGAGTGATTCTCCTTGTACAACTTGTGTCAGACTTTTATTGATACTTTATTTGTGATCTCCATGATTATCTAACGATGATTTTATTTCATTCTATCTTATATCATCTATGGCATGAAGGCTTGATAAGTTGAGTATGTTTAAAAGCCTGGAGGCTTGTTACAACATAAAGGGTTTAATAGGCTAAAAAATGGGGCCAAGCATTTTACTTGAATATTCTATGTAGGCATAATCAATTTAAGCCCAAGCATAATCCATCTTAGACATTTTTTTTGGAGATATCTTGGACATTTTATACCCGAACTTCGTCCCTTCCTATTGATTTTCATTGCCATGGTAAAATTTCTTTACCTTATTTTCCATGTTTATATTTTCTCATACTAATATGCCAAAATTCTTTCGTTTTTTTTTTTAGTTTATACCTACAATATAGAATAAAATATGGAAAAGAAATATTTTACAGAATATGGAGAAATAGATTTGTCATTCTACTCCCATTCGAATTAACTCAGACTCATTTCCTTTCTAGTATCTCCATTAAAATACTTGTTATATTTTTTTGTAGAAATAGTATTTTGTTCTAAACTATCAGAATTATTCATTTTAAAGAAAGGAGATAATTAGGTATTCTATAATATCTAAATACTTGAGGTTTTCAAATGCTCCAATTTGCTTGTATTTTCTATTCTTTACTTCTTTTTGGAAAGTCACATTGGGAGTGATTGTTAACCATTAATTTCGCAACAGCACTTAAGCAATAATGCTTTAAGATTATCACTTATGTTGTATTATTTCAGTCTTCGTTTCAGTTAGATGACCTCCCTAATTAGCTCATGGAGAATCATTTTTGTTATCTTCTCATCATATGTTAGAAGTTTTTTAATTTTTCTTTCAAAATTAAAAAGTTATAATCTTCTCATCTATGGCATCTCTTCGACTTCAAGTCTCTGAAATGGTTGATTCAAATATGTAACTATTCTTCTATTGTTTAAAAAGTTTTTTTGTTCCCTAATTTTTATTTTAAATTATCTTTTCCATTTCCACTATAGTAGTTTTATATTAAAAAGTTTTTTTGTTCCCTAATTTTTATTTTAAATTATCTTTTCCATTTCCACTATAGTAGTTTTATATTAAACTTTGATGAGGGGAAAGCCTGTCGTTACTTGAAGAGGGCAATGGTGCTGATGCAGAAAGCGATGAATTGGAAGTTGAAGAAGGACCTTCTTTTAAAAAGCCTAGGAAAAGGCAAGCGCGTTGCTGGAAACATTTCACAATAATAGGAGAAAAAGAGAATGAAAAGGCAAGATGCAATGGTTGCAAGATAGAGTACAAGATTGATGGTAAGACTTGCAGTACGTTTACTTTAAACCGTCACAATGTGTTGCGAAATCGGCAAGTATACCGTTCGTTTCAAGTAATAAAAGTGATAAGTAAAGATTGTTCTCTCGAGGATTAATGCACCAAGTACTAATTTAACTATTCCCTTTGATTTGGAAGAAAAATGGGTTTGATTGTGAATTTGATTGATTGTCGTAATTTAAAAACAGAAGTTTAAAAACAATTAAATTCAAACGCATGCAAGAATATCAAGAATAACAAGAAATTATGAGATTAAGTAAAATTGTAAAAAGAATGTAGCCAGGATACACTTCACCTCCGATTCTCCTTTATATTCCTGAATTGCAATTTATAACTAAGTAATTTAGTAACTCAGACAATTCATTATTTTTCTATTAAATAGTTGAACCCTAATGTCTTAGTGATTTCAACCCTTTAACCCAATTAGAATGCGAGTGTCCTAGTAATTCCTCTTGAATTAAGCATTAAGCAAATGAATTAAAAGTCTGCAATCTATGTAAGCCTATGTCTAGGTCATGCACAAATTGTTATTCTACCATTGTCCAAATTAAAACTCCAATATGTCTATTGTGAGTCCTAACCCTCAAAGCCTTATAATTAGAGTGGTCAGTTCTAACCAGGATATGAAAAAATTAACACAGGCAGAATAAAGCTACATAAACTACATTAATTATAAAAACAATTCAAAAAATATAAAGGATTCACATCAGGTCCGTGATCACAACTACAAAAAGAAATTAGCCAGACATATTCATGTCTGACTTAAATAAATTAAAAGAATAAAAATTGTTCATAAACGAAAAAGAAAAGAAGAAGAAGATAGAAGATCAATGTTCTTCGTTCTTCAACTTTGGCTAGAAGATCAATGGTCTTCGTTCTTCAACTTTGGCAGAATCATGATCTCCAGCGCGAGTCTCCAAGAATTCTCTCAATTCTTTGATCCTCACAATTCTCTCCAGCCAAAGATGTCTGTCTCTGGGAGTCTGAGTCTCTATTTATAAACTCTGTGCCTTGCTTAGAAATCTTGATTATATCTATATCGTGTATCTTGGGTCCAATCTTCTTGGATTCAGTCTGAGATTTGTTTAGGAATTTCTCACGTACCTCCCACGCTACTAGCGTGGATCCCACGCTGTCAGCGTGGAAGTTTTGTTCAAAGTACTGCAGGTTCACGCTATTAGCGTGGTTACCACGCTGCCAGCGCGGTTGGTATGAATGGCTGGCACTGCTAGCGCCGGTGTCACGCTAACAACGTGGAGGTTTTGGATGGAAAATTGCTTCTGGCGCTGTCAGCGCCACACCCACGCCAGTAGCGCGGGGCTTTAGATTTGTACTTCCAATTTGGGCTTCTTTTTGTCCTGTTTTCCTACAAAATTAGAAGGAAATCAGTTACAAGATCTCTGATTGAGATTTATCCATTTAATAACAATTCTAGTTCTTTCTATCCAAGATTGATCAAGATTCTTTCTCTTTTTGGCTTAAAATCATATATATGCTGGAGGCATATCACATTGACAAATGCACACAAATTAAACATGAAGATATTGGTCAAGTCATGTTAGACATGCAAGGTAAAATGAAGGCTATAAAAATAGGATATGATTAACTTCAGATTTGTGGACATCTTGTAATACTGAGGGTTATGTTTGCTTAACTGCCCATTTCATTGATGTAAATTGGAAGCTAAACAGTACAATTATTGCCTTCTGTCATATGCCTCCTCCTCATACTAGATTTGAATTGACTCATAAAGTACTTGGTTTGTTAAAGGAATGGGGGAAATAGAAGAAGATTTTTACCATTACTTTGAATAATGGATATGCAAATGACTCTATGGCTGGTACTTTGAGAAGCCAACTGAATATGCAAAAATTGTTGTTATGTGATGAGAACTTTTTTAAAGTGCATTATTCTGCACATATATTGAATTTGATTGTTCAAGATGGAGTAAAATTTGCAAATGATGCCTTGTCTTGGATTAGAAAGAGTGTTAAATATATAAAAGACTCAGAATCGAGAATGATCAAATTTAAGGAGTGCATTGAACAAGTTGGTTGTGAGAACACTACAACTACTTTGATAGCGGATGTACCTACTAGATGGAATTCCACTTATGAAATGCTTGATCGTGCTCTCAAATTCAGGCGTGAGTTAGCAATTCTTCAATTGAGTGATAAAAATTACATGTATTGTCCTTCAGAAGAAGAATGGAATAAGTTGGAAATTCTTTGTCAGTTCTTGCAACCATTTTGTGAGATCACTAATTTGATGTCACTTCTTATCCTACTTCTAACTTGTATTTTCTACAAGTTTGGAAAATTCAACGTGTTCTCATTCGTATGAGTAATGATGAAGATGTGTTTGTAAGTAGCCTGGCTAATAAGATGATGAGGAAGTTTCAAAAATATTGTGAAGAGTATAGTGATGTGCTTTCACTAGAAGCTGTTCTTGATCCTCGCATTAAGTTTACTACGTTGTCTTTTTGTCATAAAAAGATTGATGCTTATACACATGATCAAAAGATGGAAAATGTAAAGGAAAACATGTAAAGGCAACCCTTTTAGATTAATGGGAACATGCCATTTCTGAATAGCTTCCAATTTAGAGGGGTTAGCCCTTACCCTTGAACCTGATATTATATGACCCAAATATTCCAATTTCTTTTGAGAAAAGTTGCATTTCTTCGAATTTGCTGAAAATTGATTATGTTTTAACACTTCCAGCACCTGTCTCAGCTGTTTCCAATGTGTTTGTTCATCCTTACTATAAATAAGGATATTATCAAAGAAAACCAGAATGAACTTGCACAGAAATGGTTTGAACACTACATTCATGAGTGACTAGAATGTAGAAGGTGCATTCCTTAAGCCAAAAGGTATCATGAGGTACTCATAATGTCCCTCATGAGTCATAAACATTGTTTTCTCAATGTCCTCCCCCCTCATCCTTATTTGATGGTACCCCGATTTCAAATCCAGCTTTGAAAAGATTTTAGCCCCTAACTTATCCAACAATTCATCGATCACGGGAAAAAGGAATTTATCCGAAAAAGTTAGATGATTTAGTGCTCCATAATCAACACAAAACCTCCAACTTCTATTTTTCTTTTTAACCAAAATTATTGGGCTTGAGAAGGGACTAGGACTGGGACGAATCCACCCCGCCGCCAACATTTCCTGCACAAATTTTTCCAGTTCTTCCTTATGATAATAAGGGTATAAATATGGTCGTATATTGGGTATTTTTCCCTTTTCCTTAAGCAAAGTTCAATGGTCACAAACCCTGTTGGGGGCAGACTATTAGGCTATTTGAAAACTTCAGGAAACTGTTGCAATACCTTGGAGACAACTTCTGACTTTCCAGTGTTGTTCTCTTCCCTCATGTTCACAATCCTCAGCTCCACATAAAAATTATCTTCCTTTTTTTTCCATATCTTGTTCAAACTCTTAAAGGAAAATTTTCCTTTGGATAATTGAGGGTCCTCTTTGAGTACAACCATAGCTAGACCACAAGGTACTCTGAGAACTAATTCCTTAAAGTTAGCTCAAATTTCACCCAATCCCTCATGCCAAGAATACCCCAAAATTACATCACCTATTCCAATTTAAATACGAAGAAGTCTTGAGTCAAGGTTATATTAGGTAAATCAAGTTGCAGCCATCGAAAAATTCCTTGGTTGTTTAACTTGTTCCCATCACCCATAATCTCTGTATGCATACATTGGCCATCCACCAAAATTTGAAGCTTTGTTGCCACCTAAGCTGCTAGGAAATTGCGACGCACCTATATCAATAAGCACTGCTACTTTTCTACCCTTAATCTCGCCCCATAACTTCAGCGACCTGTTCGATGTGAGTCTCACAATGCTGTGAACACTCAACCGAAGTGCCTCCCCTTCCACTGCACCCTCGTCGTTGGCTCCTTCTTCCTCTTCGTCTATGTTCTGGTCCCCTGTTCCTGCCAACATCATGTTGAGATGCGCTTGTTGGAAAACATGGTCTGGTGAATAGGGTGCATCACACCTAAAGCACAAGTTCCTCTGCCTCTTCTCGATCATCTCTTCTGGCGATAGTCGTCGATACCTCACGCCACGTGCTCCTTCATTTTCGGTAGGGCTTCATCCAATCACGCTCGCATTCCCCTCACTAGAAGTGGCTGTGTCGAGACTTCCTGATGACCCAACTCTATTTCCCACCCACCCACATTTGATGGGTTTGCATTATTTGGGCCTAAGTTGGTTGGCCTAGTTTGGTTTCCCTGATTATTGGGCTTGTTCATTGAGTTTCTTCCATTTGCCACTCTACTAAACAAAGTCGTCCGTTGATAGCTTCCACCACCGTTCGTAGACCTGCCATCCACACGTCCATTAAGAGGCCTAGTCCAGGTTCGCACCACTTCTTTCTCCTCTTCCCTCTTCGCCACCGTCATCATTCGCCCAATATCACCCAAGTCATGCAATTTGATTTCTGCGCGAATGTCTTAACGTAACCCATTAAAAAATGTTGTTTGCATTACCGCCTCATCCGCGTGCCTGAGTGGTTCTGATAGGAGCTCAAATTGTTCCCTATACTCAACGATGGATCCATGTTATCAAAGACACATAAGTGCCTTTTATGGATTGTCGGACGAAGATGGGTGAAATCGTTCTAAGATAGCTGCGCGAAATTCAACCCAGGTGATAGTAGGATTCCTTTGTTCCCACCTCTGGAACCAATTTAGGGCTCTCCCTTCCAGACATACTGCTGTTGTTTCTACTTGTTCATCAATAGGAATCCTATTAATGCAAAAGTACCGTTCAGCACGGTATAGCCAGCTGTAAGGGTCTTCCCCGAGAAGTAAGGTACTTTTACTATTCTTCTGCATTCGTCTTCTCTACCTTGACCATTGTTTCCTATCGCTCCCATTGCTCCATCACCCTCGATATTGTCTCCACCATTTCTAAGAAGATTCTCTATACCCAGATAGGTCATTCTATGCAAAATTTCCATGAGCGTAATGTTCACTTGATTCATCAATGTCTCCAACCCACCTAACTTCCCCAAAACTCCCATATTTTGTTGCTCCATCGCTATCAACCTTTGTTCAAGCTCATCAACTCTAGACTCCATTCTTGGCCGAACCATTCAGAGCACTCTCAAGATCAAGTGCTTTGATACCAATTGATGATACCAAATTAAAACAGTATAGTTTATATATATAAAAATATAAGTATAGTTTATATATATATATATATCACCAAAAAGGGTCCAAATACTGAATCATTAATGGTCTAAAATAGTAAGACATCATTAACAACACCATAAATGATTAACAAGATGAGATAGTCTAAGTCTCTGATAAATAAGGAACAACTTAATACAGAAAGGAACAACTCAATATAGTAAAAACAACACTAATGGACTAGCTCCCTCAACGAAGAAACAGACCTATCTTTATTGAGTTCCCTTTCCCAAATTCCTTTATTAACTTTTTTTCTCCATTTTTCCTATTCCGCATTTCCACACTTATAACTAACTGCTCAGCACCTCTTCCTCTGATTTCCTCTTCTCCATTCAGTGCATTCCATGTGGCCATTTTACTAACAGACTTATTTTCTGTTTGTTCCACTAATTCCCTTAAATTCTGACCTATTCCCGTTCCATTGGGTTGCTGCTGTTGGGCCTGATTCTTCTTTATTTTTTTACGTCTATAAACAAACAGTGGCCCATCAGAAAACAAAAAGGAAAAAAATTAAAATAATTTAGAAAGCAGAAGACAATCTTCAGAATCTTTGATATCATATATGCTATTATATTCGGCTCACCCCAACAATAGATTACAATCATTACACTATAAGCATCCTCAAAGCTTGCATGCTTACAGGGCAGCTCCAAAATTTGATGGCTAAGGAGTTATAAATGAACACAATGCAAGACATAAACGAGAATTAAACAAATAAGACAAAACTTTAATACAAGGAGATCCTTCAAATACCTCAGAAACAAAACAAGCACTGTAACTCGCTGATTTTACAAGCATTTATCATAAAGAAAAAATGATCCTAAGGCCAACATTTTTTAACTCCTTTTTTGAGAAAGTCGATTGATCCAAAAAAATGTATTTTCTCCTCAGTAAAACAACATTTGAAAAAAAGCATAACCTTTCGCATCATGCCCTAAGAAGGGGTTGGCACGACTCAAGTGATAAAAAATAAACTCAAGGGGGGAGAGAAATCAAATAGTAAAATACCCCTCAGTGGAAAACATTCAAATCCAACCATCACTCAATCTTGAGAAACCTAATCAGCAGAAGCAATCCCAAGCTGATATCCAGTTCTTAAAACAGAGATACAGATCAATGAAGACATAGGTACAACAATCACCTTTTTTATAATTCAAAATAAAATATAAAAAAATTTGAGAATTGAAAGAAGAAATTCAAGACGTTGGCGACGAAGCCACACGACATCGTTTGGAGGATGGGGAAAGGAAGAGGTCCAAGTCCAACATCACCATCGTCATCATCGACGAGGAAGGAGGCAGCGATGTTGTCATTGCTATTTAGATTGGAATTATTGTCCCACGGAGAGATGAGCATTAAGAGATGCTTTGGAATAATAATTTATTCTTTTTCACTGTCCTATCCGATCAAATGCTAACCCAAGGTCTCCTTTAGGGATTTTTTTAATATAGGGCCGGCCCACACTTCTTTGGGTGCACCTTTCTAAAAAAGGCAAAAAAAATTACATTTCAATCCCTCTCTTTTATTTAAATGTCATCTCACGCCTCTCTTTTTTCCACTTTTGGTCAAGGACTATAAAGTCCAGGCCCACACTAAATCACCTCCTCCTTTAGGATAACTTATTAGGCTTTCAACCAGATAATGTAAGCCAACTTGATAATTTTATGCAATCCAATGAGCTCAACAAACAACTGATAAAAATAAGATAAAATATTTTATTATATCCTATTCTCCTTATCTAGTGCTCCAAACACACCGTAACTATTCCGTTACATTTTCTTCATTTCCCTTCATTAGCTTTTCCTTTCGACGTAAGTCTTAATCACAAACCTTTAAATTATTTACGTTAATCAATAACCGTTTACTTTCCAATTTAGTAAATAGTTAAGGTTGGAATTAATTTAATGCTTCACTTTCCAACTCAACGCAATAAGAGTGGCCCACAGTTTTACATCTAACGGGTTATAAAAACCAATGAAATCCAGCTTGCTTCGAAATGATGTTTGATGCGCTATCAAAGGTGAGCTTGTCCACCCATACCTTGGTGACATCCACGGAGTTATACTAATTGGGTCTGGGCCTGCCGGTATATCTTTATGTTTCCTATGTAATTCGCTATTAGCATGTGTGCAACCTCTAATATCTAAGATATTCTTCATCAATATTTATTGCTCCGGCTCCAAAAGAACCAGCACGCAAGGAGAAAAAACATGTCATACTAGTCCAAAATTTATGTAGCACCGATATAACACGCGATACGTGACACGACACGACACTCCGACACGTCAATCATAAAAAATTATGGATTTCGACACGTTGAGACACATTT